ATAGACCACCAATGGTGGTATAAGAGTACATCTCACACACATCAATTATTACATACAGTCAAAATGGCGGCGGAGGGTAACAATATATTGTAGAAAACCAGTTGTTGGTATAACATGTCTATTATCTAACTTTTGTCAGAAGAAAACATGGCGGAAAAGATGGGTTTTGATAGATATTTTGATGGCAGAACAGGTTTGAAATTGGCGGACCAAAATGTCGCTTACATTATAATAAAGGAGTTGTATATCCATATAACTTTCCCCGTTGTTAAGCACACCAACTTCTAAATGCCATCCAAAGAAGTTCACTATATATGGCTAGACCAGCGTTTAACTGCGTACTATTTTCAGCTTTGATTAGACGAACGTTTGACTGCATCCTTTTATTTGCTTAGATTACACCATTGACTGTGGAATGGTTCTGTTACTACATTGAGGTATCAAGGTGCTTTACAGTCACGTGCGTCTCCTCTATCTTTGGGTAGGAGCGAATTGGGTTCATGTAGGTGAAGTTCTTCAGTTAATAAATTTCATCGTCTTAATTAATTCAAAGAAACTACAGCTGTATTTTGATCACCCTGAAATACAATAAAGTGACATAAACATAAACGGTTAAGTTCCATGCCTCATTTCTAATTCCTCCACCTATAACCAAACAGCGAGAACTGATAATTATTTTTGAATTGTCTACATACGGCTCATTTATAGTGTCACATACTTCAAAACGGTTATCTCCCAATTGACAGACACCCATTTGACAGACAGCCAGTTGACAGACACTGAACTAGAAGGTTAATTAGGGTTACACCTACGGGTATAATGGAACAGTCCACTGTCCAAGGAGTAGAGTAGGGTGAGCCTGAAAGAGGTTCGTTACTGAAAAGTTTGATTGTGTGTAAATAGGACTTTGTTGTGATTAAATGATAATCTCTCTTCTATTCTCAAAATTATTTTTACTATCAATTATTATCGAATATAAAAACAGGTTTGTCACTGAGAGGTTTGATTGTGTTTATTGATTAAAACATTTTATGCATTCAAGAAAAAAGATTTGGGCACAACTTATCCAACTGAGAAAAACCCTCTCACAAAAATAGGATATGTTAAGTTAACTGAGGCACTTTTTGTTTGAGAGATATAGATAAATGGCAGAGAGATATGTACATATTTGAGAACATTCTGCTTTTCAGTTAATGGCACTACCATGAAAGATAAGATTAAGACCAGTCAATGTTCTAATTTTAACAATACTTTCTAAAGATTTTAATAGTTTACTTTGATTAGTAAACAATGGACATTCAAGGAGTAATGAAAACATTCTCGCATCCATGGCCACATTGTCATGATGCGTCACTTTTTATATTTATTCTAAATAAATCATAATTAACTGTACTCGTCATATATATACCTTAATCTTGTGTGCAAAACATTTAACTTCTTTATTCCATATGAATAGTATTTAGGTGCACGCTTTTCTTTCACCTGGATATGAGATTCAAATGATGCAACAAAGTTGCAATTCCTAATGGCTATCGGATTATTATTCCATATTTTAACTGCTGATGGAATAAAAAGATGATGTTTAGTACCCTCAGTCTTGTACATGGTTGGCTAAAATTATTGGAGTTTCTTAATTCATAACTTATCTGGTTGCCTACTACAGGTGGGAGTAAATCCTGAAGAAAAACTGGTGTTGTTCTGTTCAGTAGGAAATTTAATTTCTGAAATGCTCCAATCATTTTAGATGTCATTTTGACAATGTTTTCAATATGATGATCCCAACTCCGTTAGGCGAAAAGGTTAAAGCAGAATGTTTATGAAAATCAAGTTGTTGGGTTTTTTTTTTTTTTTTGCAGCAACATTCAAAATTCAAATGTCTTTTCGGACATCTTTCAAAGTAAATAATACAGCTTCAGTTTTCTTCTTGCGTATTTGGACTATTCCATTATAATGTGTAGATAACGGGTAGTAGCTAATATGTTCATTGGACCGTAAATGTTGTTGTTTTAAGGCGTCTGCGAACTGCCTGTCTGCGTAATGGGAGGACACCTTCAAAACTCTCTGAATGTGATGTATATGTAATAAACTGAGCTGCAAACGCAAGCTCCAATTTGTTTGAAATGTAAGTGTAACTCACCATTCCATTAAGTTGGAATTGAACTGATGGCGCACAATATGGCGTCACAAAACCATCAACAATGAACCTCTAAAACATGAACATTGCTCTTAGGCGACATATACAGTCAAGTCCGGACTCCGATGATAATCCGGATGTCTCGCCTCCCGGGCGATTTCAGCTTGTTACCAATCTATGCCTATATAATTTGCCTCGATAATCCGGAAATTCGGTTTCCGGAACCGGACGGGAAGTAGCTGTCACCAATCAGTAAAATAAACAGTAAATTGCTTCACAGTCCGACGCTGTAAGTCGTGTTCACGAACCGTAACAACACCGCCCGGCGATGTTTCACTTAATTAACTGGCCAACTGGGTTGTTGTTTTAATTAGCCATAAAAGCTCCTCGACTGAAGATACTGTACATTTTACACTTTGATTGACACCACAATACAAAGGCGTGGATGACAAGTGAGCTGTTTTGTGATTGGTAAATGTACTTTGACAGACAGATCCGGTCACGTGAACTAAATGTGATTTTGCTTTTACGACAATGCTGCAAGTCACAAGTATGCTTCGCTAACTTTGCGAAATGTGACCAAATACCACGTCTCATATTCAACCGATGGATGCAGGAATAATTCGGACATTCAAGGCATACTACAATAGATCGTTTGTTAGACATTACCCTCACCTGTGTTGAGGGAAGGACGTGATCAGACACGTCGGATCAACATGCGGATGTCACTCGGTAAAATTATTGATGTGATGAATTGCTTTTTACATTAAAATGCTTATTTGTTTTATCCAGATTCGTGTCGTTTTTGTAATTCAATTCACACACTCACTCAGTGATTTTATTTTAGGATGATGGTTTGGATGTGGTTGATTGTCTTAGTGCTGGCCACTCATGGTGGAAATCGCCATGAAAAATATACTCGTCACAATGCCTTATTTGTCATAGGTCCCTCCTGTTCATCTGGCACTTCTGACACATTTGTCACACAACATCATAATTCAAAGAAAACCATAGAAACGAACCAGTCAGACTAGAAAATTCGGAAACTTTTGGAAGCAGTACACATCAAGAAGATACGATCCGCTCTCAACAGAGATGAAGGATAGTACATTCCCAGTGCCTACCATCAATTGATAAAGTAATCAATAATATTTCTTGTGTACATTATCTGTTTCAATTCAACTATGTACATCAAACCCATCTTTTGTGTATATACATCCACCTGGCCTCCTATAAATTCTAATTCAGTCCTTGTATATCACCCTTCTGGCTTCCAATCAACTTACTCAAACTCTTCTACAAGCGTTGTACATCAACCTCATTTAATGTATTGTGAGGTTGTTCCCGGTATTTGACAGCATCGCATGAACGCAACCATCAACAATAGCGTGCGCCTGCACGTGGACTTGTCAACTGTGTCGTGTGATTGTTTCTCAATTGTAGTGTGAGTCTTGTCTTTGTCTTCGTCAAGTAAACGTCTGTTATTTGTACACCTGTGTTGCGTGATATGTGGGCCCTCTGAAGACCTTACAATGGTGGCAGCGGTGGGATAGTGTGGACACATGGAAGGACTTTGAAGAAGTGCGACTTTCAGAAGAATTTCACGGAATGTGCTCTTCATCGAACTGTGACGTGAGTTTGCTCCATTTTGCCATTTTGACCTTGTGGTTGAACTTTTTCGTCTTCTGTGTGAATGACATTGAACATTTAAGCAAGAATACTCTTTCATTTCATCATGGCTGAAGGTGGTATAAGTCAAGAACATTCTGGCGATATCGCTTATTTCAAAATTCCTCTGTTTGATCCCAACCGGTCAACCTTTGCGAACTTTATTGAAAATGTGTATGAAGTGAAAGCTTGGGGCCTAAACTGGAACTCTGATAAAAAGTTACGTGGCTTAGCTTTAGTACTTCCTGCAGGGTTTTGCTCACGAGTATTCAACGATGTTTCTGATGAAAACAAAACTGATTATGCACAAGTCTGAAAGCCACTTTGATTAAAGAACTTGATAGAACCCAAGAGCGTACTCAAACTGCTGCTAGGGAGTTCAGAGAGAAATGTGTCAAAACCCCATGAATCCATTGATGATTTCGCCCACCGTCTTCAGGTCAAGGTTGATGAAGCATACCCCTCATTCGCAAAACAAACAAAATGAACTCTGTGCTCAAGGATTTTTGATGGCTTGTCAAGTAAGAAATTGAGAGAACAACTGAACATTGCCATTTGTCAACAATCAAAAATCTCCAAAATTTGATGCTCTTGTAGACATGGCTAGACGTCTTGCGGGTTCTCTGTGTGAGGACAGTGATAAGTCTGTGTTTCTTATCAATTGCATTGCAAGAAGCCAGGTCACAAGGAGCGATACAGTGTTACACGAAGAAACGGGATTTAGGTTCATCAAATAGTCGTAGCAAGTTTTGTTCCTTAAAGTCAGCAGCTGAATGTCGTGATACAGAGTAGAGTGATATGTCAAAGTACAGAAACATTCGGTGTTACAACTGTCGAAAATATGGACACATTGCGACTAAATGTCCAGATAAATCCCATGTACATTGTGTTTCTTCAGACACCAACAGTAACTTTCCCTCAATTCCTCAAAATTCACCAACCACACAAATCCGTCTTGGTAGCGAGTCTTTCACTGCAATCATAGATAGTGGAGCTAGCGTCTCGTGCATAAGTGTGTCTTTGCTTAAGAGAGCTTTTCCAAATGGTGTTTGTCTAGAAGAGACAAAATCTAAATTAACTGATCTGTCGGGTTCTTTGTGCGTTATCGGTGTGTTCGATACAACTATACAGATCAATGGGTGAAATCCATGATTGTAGACTCCATGTGTTGATGTTCGTGATGACCATTTGTTGCCAGGATGGGACTTTATGTAGGTTTGAGGAAATAGTCATTAAGCCAAAGGAAAAGTCAGCGGACTTTTAGACATCTAGTTACTGATGGAAGTGTACACAAGGTTCATATTGCTGAAAAGTACTACTATTCCACCAAGAAGTCAAGCAATCTTGAGAGTAGCTATTAGTCAGTCAAATACACTGTACAAACATGTGATGATAGAAAACATTCTGAGTTTGAATCTAGGACTGGGTTGATAGTTGGTATATCTGTTTCTGGAACTGATGATGCTTATGTGGTCGTTATGAATCCCGATGTTGTCAGCAAGCGTGTTTTATAGGTGTCAGACAGTAGGCCAGGCGTCTAACATTGCCGGCAATCTGCCTCGTGAATGATTCTGTGTCTTCAGATTCTAGTTCCACAAATTGGAATATAGGTTCCCATTGACAATGAACACAAGTCAAAAATTATGCAGTTTGTTGAAGCAATATGAGAAAACATATTTGGTGGTTTAGGTTTTGTGAAAAGACTTTACCTATGAACTGAACCTTAAGGAAGATGCTGATCTGTCATGCGACATTGTCGACGGCAGTTCGGTCCCCATATTGATGACATTATCGACAAACAACAGACACAATCTATGATTGAGCAGGACATAGTGGAACCAAGTAACTCTACTGTATTATCACCAGTCGTTTTGTGTACGCAAATCTGATTCAACTCTGAGATTTTGTCTGGACCTACGCGCTATAAACAAGCAGATAAAAGATGAAATTTTTCCATTGATGTCTCCAAGTGAAGCACTTATGAGACTTACAAATTCAAAATATTTCAGCACACTTGACATGAATGCAGCGTATAACCAGATAAATCTTGTTTAACAATCTTGTCCTCCTCACCGCATTTCAAACAAGCTCTTAGGTGTTTACCAGTTCAAACGAATGTGTTTCTGGTTAAAGACTGCGCCATTAGCCTTTCAGCGTATGATGCATGTAGTACTCAGGTGGCTTAACTCGTGATCATGTTTTGGTGTATTTGGACGTGATGTGTTAGTCCATTCCTCGTACAGCTGATGAACATTTGGACAGTTTGAGACAGGTATTTGAAACACTTGCATCCAGTGGTGTTACTTTGAGGCCAGACAAAATGTTTTTCTTCATGGAGAGTGTCCAATATCTAGGTTATGAGATTTCTGCTTCAGGTGTGAGTCCAGGAAAGAAAGGTTTGGAAGCAATCAGGCAGTTTCCGGTTCCGACTTCATGGGAAGAAGTTCGTTCGTTGGTAGGCCTTGCAAACGTACTTTCAGAGGTTCATTCCAAATTTTTCAGATCTTATTATGCCTCTCAGCGTGTCTACTGTTGGCAGTCGCCACATCAGGAATCTTTTGATAGGCTCAAGTTGATCTTGACGTCTTACCCTGTTTTGAAACATCCTGATTTTAGTGCAGAGGCGTCGCAATTCATAATACAAACAGATGCTAGTAAGACAGGTTTAGCGGGAGTGTTTTGCAACATGACCATCCCATCAGTTATGCTTCAAAGAAACTTTCCAAAACTGAACGAAATTATTCCACTATCCACCGAGAAGCACTGGCGATAATTTGGGCTGTTAGGAAATTTCTGACCCTATGTTCGGGAAGACGTTTCTGGTTGAGAACAGATCATAAACCTCTGACATACATTTTTTACATCAAAATCAGAGAAATTCGCCAGATGGAGTTTAGAACTTTCTGATTACTTCCATTTGACATTGATCACATTCCAGGGAATGAAAACATTCCAAGTGATATTTTGAGTCGTAATCCTGTTGGAAGACGCCAATGAATTACCAGTGTTAGCTGTGACTAGAGGTCAAGAAAACGACGTGATATTATCTCGCAAAGCATATGAACTGGGTCACTTTTGGTGTAACAAAGAACATGGCAATTCGCAAAAAAGTTGATTCTTCAGTTACACAACGTGAGGTAGCTGAAATAGTGGGAGAAATGTACTGTGTGTATAGAGGGTCCACATGCTATAGCAAGGTCTCCGTTAGGTGTTACTGTTACTGCTTCGCGTCCTTGGGAGGTTCTTCATTGTGATTTTGTTGGCCCACTTCCACGTTCGTCTTGTGGTTATTTGTATGTGTTTTTACATGTTTAGATGATTTGAGTAGGATGTTTTTCGCCTTCCAGTTCAATGGCGACGACATCTAGTGCAACAACAGTGCTTGAACGTCTGTTTTCCATATTTGTCCACCCAGTGTTTTACATATGGATAATGGTACTGTTTTTACATCAAAAGAGTTTTGTGTGTTTACTTCCAAAGTGGGGAGTTAGATGCAGTTATACTCCCAGTTGCTAGACCTCAGGCTAATCCAGTTGAAAGAGCTCACAGAACATTAAAAAACGTCTTTAGTGAAAACAGCAGAGTGTGACAAAACGTGGGACAGAGTTTTGCCAGAAATTGTGTTAGCACATAATTCGTTGTTAAATCGTACCACGGGTTTCGCTCCCTATTTTGTTATGTTTGGTCGTAACAGTTTGATTCATCAATTAGTGTCAGACGATGTTTCCTCTGTGGGGGAGGAGATGGATAGCTGTGTAGAGGTGTGGGATATGTGTCGAATCCCATACGTCGGCTAAATTACATCGCCAGGAGCAGACATCACAAAGAGTGTCAAAAGATGTTTAATGTTGGTGATCGTGTTGCAGTCAAAATATTAGGAGGACACAAGTTCAAGAAACAACATTTCAAGTCCGGATTTGTGGTATCCAAGTGTTATGGTGAGTTCCTACAAGTCAAGTCATCTGATCGTTCATCGAGAGAAACAGTCGTCGTTAGTGTTGATCAAGTCGTGCCAGACCTTTCTTGAGAGGGGAGGGATGTGAGGTTGTTCCCGGTATTTGGACAGCATCGCATGAACGCAACCATCAACAATAGCGTGCGCCTGCACGTGGACTTGTCAACTCTGTCGTGTGATTGTTTCTCAATTGTAGTGAGTCTCGTCTTTGTCTTCGTCAAGTAAACGTCTGTTATTTGTACACCTGTGTTGCGTGATATGTGGGCCTGAAGACCTTACAGTATAAACAACTCATTCCCTATCTACTGTTATAACAACTCATGTATATATTCTCTCAATTTGTTACTCATGTATCACTTGCTTGACAACGACATTAGAATCCATGTCGAAACGTCGCCTCCACAGAATAAAAGAAGTTGTATATCCAATATAATTGTCATTATTCTTCATCAACTCAACATCTAAAATGCCCATCAAAGAAACAATTCAATTGGTTGGTGTGATTAAGTTGGTTAAGACAATCGAATCCAGTTACTTATGTCAAAAATATGTAATTCCTTAAGTCACATCACAAAATGAACGTTTCCGTTATTTCACGATATGACTATTGCATACGTGCAAATTGTACGTCAAAGGAAAGTCTACATCTCTTGTTAGATATTTTCTAAACGTCAAGTCATACACCGCCATTCGTGGGCAAGAACATTACTGAAAACCATTTAATACTATCCAGAAATTACGATGGCGACTGAGCCCTGTTTGTAGTCGATCATGCGCAGACAGCACTGAATTGTGGGTAATATCGCTTTCACTTTATCGCTTTCTTGCTTCGCTTTATCGCTTTCTCGCGCAATGATATCGCTTTCTCGTCTCGTAGCCATCGCTTTCCTCGTCCTCGTGTTATCGCTTTCTTCATCGCTTCATCGCTTCGCCTCGTGTTATCGCTTTCTCCACCACCAAGGGCTGAGGCTCTGCCTGGGAGCTTTTAGGACCTCTCCGGTAGACAGTCTATATGCGGAGGCCAATGAACCTTCCTTGAACAACGCCGCATTAAACTCTCACCGCAGTATATCACTAAATTACGTTCAAAATGAGTCCAATCCAGCATACAATTGTGTTTTCAACCCGCTCTATGAAAACTTATTTCCTAAACTGCCAAGCCTGGTTCCACCACTTGGAATCAGGATCAAACCACATATCTGCAGCTAAAATTGATCTCAACATCATTGCACCATACCGACTTCTGTCCTCACCACTCATGGCAAATGGTGAAACCACAGGTCGATCTTTACCCCTCACCAAACTCAAAAAGTCTGAAACAAATCCCTTGGTGTTCCAACAGGAATACAACCAGTTACGTTCGAAGTATAACACTCACAGATCCATTTTCACAGACGGATCCAAGGACGATGGCCAAGTTGCCAGCGCTACAGTCATTGAGCCAAGACTGTCTCCCTCTAGGATCCCCGACAACAGTTCCATTTTCACCGCTGAAGCCAAAGCTATCTTCTCAGCTTTGACCTACATTCAACAGCAAAATCAGTCCAAAACTTCATCGTATTTACAGATTCATTATCCTGCCTTCAAGCACTTCTAAACGTGACTTCAAGTCACCCAATCATCCTGGACATATTAGAACTGTACAACGACCTTCTACTGGCCAATATGACATCATCCTCTGCTGGTTGCCGGGTCACGTCGGCATAGCAGGTAACACTAAGGCCGATGCTGCAGCAAAAGCAGCTCTTGAAAAGCCCCTATCTCCACTGCTAATCCTGTACAGTGATTTCAAAGCAACTATCAAAAGCTATACTCGGGACTTGATGCAAAGAAGGTGGGACACTCAAGTAGGAAGAAACAAACTCCATGAATTGAAGCCAACAATCGGTTATACCTACTTGGGTTGCCAGTCAAGACGTGATGAAGTAATTTTACGACGATGTCGTATTGGCCACAGTCGGTTTACACATGACTATCTGCTTAAGGCGGATGGGGATGGACCCCCATATGTCTCTCCTGCGATGAGGCTTTCACCGTCAAGCATATTCTGCTTGACTGTGTGGATTTTATATGAGATATCTGCAAGGGACTCCTTGCATTATCACGCAACCAATCTGAAAGATCTGTTCTCCAGCGTGAGCGCTCATCTGATACTGAACTACCTGAGGGAAGTTGATCTATATCATAAAATGTAACTGTGTAATGTCACTAACGAATTTACCTGCTTTTCAATTTAATGCTATGACATTCTCTGTTCTAAAATGACAACGTAATGAATGTATGTCTTTGAAACGAAACCACTTTGTACTTACAATGTATATTAATGCAGACTTGTTCTCGTCACTATATGGCTGGAATAATGCCGATGTGACGTAAAGCCCAACTCAACTCAAGAGCTCAGCGCAGTGGTAAGGCAGTGAACTGTGTCTACCAGCCCAGGGTAACTAAAAGTGTATCACCTGTTGTTTCAAGAGATTAGCATGGTTCAGCGGACCTGAAACCTTTAAACAACATTCGCTGGCAAACTGGGACACCTCTGCTCGGCGTAGCTGCTCAAACCAAGCTATCAAGCAAGGGATGTCTACTGGGTAGTCCTGTAAGTTTAGACCTTTGGTCGAGGTAAAAATCCTTGGATTTTGATGTTGTGACGACGGTGTTATTTTAAGGGAATATGACTTCTAGCTTCTTCTACCAAATGTAAAATGTTAACTCAGCTCACCCAGGAACGGAATAAGACACACGTGTACCAGGACAGAGTGAATTTGCCAGTTATGGCAAATGCACAATTAGATCTCAAAAGTTTTCCATACATTTCTGTGGCAGGAAGATACCTTTGTGTAAATGGTTATATGTTCATAGTGAAAAGAAGAAAAGGGGAGAATGGATCCTCGTG